GCCTGCGGTCACGTATGATTCGGCCTTAAGGGACATCACTGGGAAAGCGGTCAATCCTAAACTAAATGGCATGAGAGCAAAGGGAAGATCATCCATATCCTAGGGACAGTGGGAGCGATGTGCCTACTAATGGATTACTCCATTAGAGAAGAATACTCTACATTCTTAGTTGTGTGGTAGCGAATGTGAAAATTTTCCACGTCATCACTGGGTGATTGAGAGGGAAACATTCATGATTGCTCCGCAAGATGATAAAGAGCCTAAGATAATGCCAAAGGCTCTAGTCCCCTGTTTTTAGAAAGTGCATCAATGTTGCGCAGTTTAAGACAAAGTTTTTGAGGATTAACCATTTCTATAATTTGGTTGACTTTCTATTATGACGCGAAACTGTTCTAAAGTTATGCGCAGTTTGGATAGTCATTGTTGAGGCATAAGGCTCGCTAAATACCGAAAATTCGCACCATTGAGGAAGGTGTAGACCATGAGAACACTTCCTCTTGGGGAGTGAGGTTATTTCGACTTAGGCTATGATTGATATAAGTTCGAAACATTAATTTATGGATGTTGTGACCCAACTTCTCATTGGAGAATTGGATAAGTAGATCCGTAGGGATTTACCTTCTGCTTTTTTGGTGAAAAGTTAGGAGCGCAAAAAGGTTACTAGTTCCAATAAATTTTTTACAGCCTAAAGCAGTTATCCAAATAGTGGTTCTTAGATTTTGTCGAGCCATGCTAGGCCAACGATGATCGATGAAGACCACTGAGACATGATCAGTAGTCCAAAAGAAGTTTTTTCCTTACGTAGTCATTATGAGCCAGGAATTTATACGGTTGTCGCCACCTAGGGTTGGCAATCCTCTGTTTAGACATGATGGACATGGGTGATGTAATTTATATACTCGGATGTAAGATCCTTAGGGATTGTTTTGGGAGAATTCCCGATGTGTCTTTGATGACTTACATAAGGAATATCCTAGAATGATTCTAGATGCAAAAATTGCAAACCCATTGACTTACCTATCGGTAAAAGCCAGAGCCTTAGCTACTATTGAGTGAATCCTCGGATTGTCTTTGGGAGAAACAGATGACCTATATTCCTTGATCTTTTTTGTTGTGGGAGCTTGAAGTACGCTATGTGGGCGTATTCGGCATGATGAGTGTTATCTTTGGTAAATAGTCAATTGAGTAGTTTAGACATTGATCTTGCTCATTAGACTGTGGATAGAATGCTTTATTAGTAGTATATTGATTTGCCCCTTGTAAGATTCAATGCGCTAGTTAGACGCATCTTGAATGAACGCATATTGATTACCAAAATATCTTTAGAGAGGTAATTACGCAAAAGGTAGTGATCTTGAACTACTTCATGTGAGGCGCACATGGTGGATTCCGTTGTATATACTTATCACAATAGGTGCTGATAAGGCTTATGCTTGGAATCTAGAATTGCGCAAACTGTGGTCGTGAGATGATGGGATGTTGACACTATTATGGTTTGTGTCATAATGATTAGCAGATGATGATGTTAGCAGGCAAGATTGGCTTACTCACACGAGCAATCGCCCTTGGCACTTGGGAGCGAGCAAGTATGAGACTAGTTGTTTATTTTTATTTGGAGTCAAGAGAGGCTTAAATTATCCACTATGCATTGGTTACAACCAAGATGAGGTCGTGTTAAGGACCAAACATGGATGTTAGTACCCACTTTCCATGTTGTGCCTGTTATGATTAGCTAGATGCGAGATCTCATTTGGCGCCTGGAAGACGGGCAAATAGAGAATTTGGGTTAGGCGCTAGAAAGCGACTAGACTAAGATCTGTACGGTGTATCGAGTATGACGTCACTTTTTTTGGAAGATTTACTCTACCGTAACTTGTATTCATACTATATGTGCTTGGCGACCGAGTAATGAGGTGAGAGAATGGATCCCTGTTTCCTCACCGTGTGAGTCTTACGTGTCATTATTGATATGACTTTCATTTATGTATCCTTTTCTGAGTTTTGACTATGTCATAAGGTAAGGGGTTGATGTTCTGCTACTTTGGTATGTTGCATGCGGTCATGTATGATTCGGCCTTAAGGGACATCACTGGAAAAGTGGTCAATCCTAAACTAAATGACATGAGGGCAAAGGGAAGGCCATCTAGTACTACACCACTGTTGTATATTCACTACCGGCAACTCACATCGCTCTGTATGAAAGGTGGATTGAGTGTGAATATATTGCAAGAATTTGAGAGGGTCAAACATGCTCTTTTTTGAGGGATTAGAGATGTTTTTTGGACCGGTGTAAGTAGATGGGTCTGGGGTATATGAGACACTATTTCTATTCTTTTGGGGTTGATGTCTCTATGCTGGCTCATTTTGAGTTTCTAATATAAAGCTCCCATATGCAGGTGTTTCTCAGCGGTCACACGGTTCATTGGCTAGTATGTGATTGTTAAATATTTTGGGAGATTGAGATAGAGATGCGGCAGTGTCATGCCAATTCATGTGTGAGTGGGAGATGTTGGAAATTGGGCCAGGTATTGAACCCGAATTTGGGCGCCCATGCGGCATGACTCATGACCATTCAAAATACCCATATAATTTGAATTTGATTTCTTGATTATCCTATTTGTTAGGATAACCCTCTATCTATCTACATCTATCCTATCCTTAGGAGATATAGATAAATAGATATATATGGTTATATATTTGATTATCTATCTGGATGATATACATCATCAGATACCTTATGTGGTTTTTACCCATAACATTTTTCCCATACTCTCCCTCTAACTCTCTCCCATATCAGAGAACGATTCAGCCTGTGATTAGAGTGGGTGATACTCATACTGTGGTATCACTCCATTGCTGGGTGTTCTTAGTTCGTGATTAAAGAAGCACGTGATTTACTCACAAGATTCATCTTTTCGGATTGCATCACCTAAGGTATGGCTTGAATCTTTTTACCTGCTGCGTTTGATATATCTTACAGATACAAATGCTGGTTTGCATTTTCAAGATCTGTATATGAAATCAGTATTATGACTATCTAGTTTTCTGTTGATTTAGTTCCTTTATTGCTTTGTTTGATGGTGTCAGACTGGAATTGGTTTAATTTAATTTGCTGTTTGCTACCATCATTAGTTTTTTTTGCTGTTTTGTTGCTGAAGAATCTAATTTACAAGTCTTGCTGTTGGAACTTAACGTGATGCGATTCTGATTTTGAGGTAACAGAAAACTCTTAATACTCTAGCAATTTGCATTTTGGAATTCACATTGTTCAGCAGTCCCAAACTCCCTTCCGACCTCCTTTCCACCCTATTATTCCTTTAGATTCTTCATAATAAAGTCATGGTATCAATCCCATACTCCGTCCCAGCCTCCTTTCTCCCCTATTATTTTATTAGATTCTTCCTATTAAAGTCATGGATTGAAATCTAAAAAGTAAAAATAGTCATGGAACAATATCTCACTCTATGTAGGATTCATTTAGTTCATGGTTTCACATGGTTACTTCCAATAGAACAACTAGTAGTAAATAGATGATGTGTGCATTTTAATAACCTTTGTAGTTGTTTGAAAAAGAAAACCACTGTGCCATCTGAAATTACTTCAAAATATATTCCAACTATGAGGTTTATATGAACGTACCCCTACTAACCTTATTTTCAGTGCATGGCTGCTTTCACTTTGATGTTCTGTGTTTTGATCCCATTGACATTTATTTTAAGTTCTTTATCCCATTCTTGACCAACATGATTAAAGAGATTGGAAAATCACAACTAATATTGATAATGAGAATTACATTTTGAAACTCAAAAAAAAAAAGAGTTCTACAATTATGCCAACAGAACAGAACATCAGTAATAATACGAAGTTAAAAAAAGAAAAAAAAGAAAAAAAAAATGAAGTGAAGAAATATGACACAATCGAATCATGCCAATTACAAATTCTGGTACGTAGCATTAAGCTTGATTGCTTCGAATTCATTTACTACGCATTGATCATTGGATCATCTAGCTAAAATATTTCCATCCTTTGTGGAATTGGGGTCTTGATAACTTGCAATATTTGCACCACCTCGGCCATTGAAGGCCTACTTGAAGGTATCTGTGAAGTGCATACCAAAGCCAATTTGAGAACAGGCAAAACCTCATCCTCTGGGTACTCCTCCATGCTTGGATCAACACATTCTAAAAGGTTCCCTTGTTCCAATAATACCCTCACATGTTCACTCAAAATTACCACATTGTCCTCCCCATACTCGACCGGTCTTCTACCCGTCACAAGCTCAAGAATCAATACCCCAAATCCATAGATGTCACACTTTTCATTCACCCTTAGGCTTTGGCACGCTAACTCTGGGGCCACATAACCTAGCGCTCTCTGGAATCTGCTACTCATAACGTGTTTGTCGAGCTTTTTCAAGAGCCTAGCAAGTCCAAAATCTGATATTTTTGGATTGAAATTCTCATCGAGAAGAATGTTGCTCGGTTTAATGTTGTAGTGAATGATGGGCGGGCGACACGAATGGTGCAAGTGAGCTAGCCCTTTTGCAGTTCCAAGCACAATCTTGAATCGGGTAGCCCATGAAAGAGGAGGTTGTAGTTGACGCTGACCGTGATGGGTAGAAGAAGAATTTATAGGAGGCCTTTGATGTAATCTTGATTGTAAGTTACCATTGGGCGCGTATTCCGATACCAAAAGCTGCAATTGAGGAGTCCAATAGTACCCTTTTAATGCTATCAAATTTGGGTGCCTTGCTTTCCCTAGGATTCGAACTTCGCGGTCAAAATCTTGCGGGTATTGGATTATGTTTGATGTGACAAGTTTCTTGATTGCAACATCCACTACTCTTTCTTTCCCTCCCATTCCCAATGAAGCTTTATAAACCGCTCCGAAAATTCCAACACCAATCTCATTTGCTTTGTTGAGTAAGGATTCAGGAGGGCTAGTCAAAGTAGTCCAATCCGGGGAAGAGGAAGCTGCATTGCAATCGAACAATATGAGTTTCCCCATGGTCAAGCTTCCTGACCGCGAGGAGCTTGAGCACATGCTTTCTAATGCATTGTCAATGAATCTAAGCCTCCTTCGAACAGAAACATTTACGAGGCTTATAACGATCACTCCAACTGCGATCACTATAGCTGCTGAGATGGCAACAATGGCAGAGACACTGAGGAACTTATGGTGCCCAAAATTTCTCGAGATTCTTGAGGAGTGCTTGTTATGACCATCCATTTGGTTGCCATAGGCATATGGGTTGAGAACTAAAGGCTTTGGGACATTCATTTTACATGGTCCCTTCAACAAGGGTGAGCAAATGCCCAAATTTCCCTCCAAAGCACTTTGGTCCAAGTTTTGAAATATACTACCACCAGGAAGCCTGCCTGTGAGCCTGTTATAGGATATGTTAACTGCAAGTAGATTTTCCAACTTACCAAGCTCTTGTGGTATCTCTCCACTTAGTTTGTTGAACTCTAACTTTAGAATCTTGAGCTTCTCCAACATTGAAATGGACTTGGGAATGGAACCATTCAAGTTATTGTGGGACAAGCTCCTGCAACAACAAGGGGATCACAAAAAATTGGTTTTCATCATAGTGATGTGGTAGTGGTATTTTAGAAGATTTAAACCAATTTGACAACTATTTAGTTTTAAAGTGATAAAATCAAAACTTGCTACATCATTCTCTATAATATTTTGTACAAGTTTTTGTTCATACATCATCTCTATTACTCTTGTAGCATATTCAAAACCTCTTCATCACATTAATAAAATGGAGGTGTCCATTTCAGGATCAATGGTTAACTACATCAATATATCTTTATTTTAAATTCAAAACCATTTTGGGGTGACTTTGAAATTCAAATTGACTTAATAATTATAGACTACTGATTTTGAACTTTAACATTATATTGCAAACTAATGCATTGGAATGGAGATTCTTATTTAAAATAAGTAATGGAAAAGATCTAAATCTTCTTTTAGCACGCTAAATACCTAAAAATTTTATCCATAATTTGAAATGTATGGATCAAATTCACGGTAAGTGTGACCCACACTAAATCAAGTTTAAATTTACGCCATACATTCGCATTGTGGATGGAAAATGTGTAATAATTCTGGGTACATAACATTATCTTTTCAAGATTAGACTTCAAATGGAAATTAAGTTAAAGACACAAAATTGGGAGAAGAGAGACTTACAATAAATAGAGAGATGAACAGTTCCCAATATCTTGAGGAATAGGGCCAGTCAAGGAATTTCCATCCAACTGAAGGATTCCCAAGCTACCAGAATCACATATGTCACCAGGAATTGACCCATACAATGCAGTGTTTCTTAGATCCAACACACTCAAATTCTGAAAGAATCCCAATTCTGGAGGAATTCTTGATTGCAGATTGTTCCAAGATAAATTCAAATGCATCAACTTGGAGAAAAGACCTATTTCCTCTGGAATATTCCCTGTAAGTTTGTTTCTTGACAGATCCAAAAATTGAAGAGTTTCAAACAGTTTGCTTGAACCCGAAGGGATTGCTCCAATGAATTCGTTCTTTGAAAGATCTATCTGGCCTAACCCGAGATCAAACAAGCTCTCAGGAATGTTTCCTGTTACTTTGTTGTCACCCAAACTTAGATGAACTAAGGATTTCATGTCTCCCATTGATGATGGTAAGACTCCAGTGAATCCATTGCTTGATAAGTCCAAATGTCGGAGACTACTCATGTTACCAATCCACTGAGGCAAGTCTCCAGCGAACACGTTGTTCGATAAACTGAGAAATGTGAGAGAATTTAGCCTGTTAAGCGTCGGTGGAAGGCTTCCAGTGAAAAGATTGTCACTGAAATCTAACCGGTTTAAATGAGGGCATAACCCAATATCATAAGGAATCGATCCAGAGAAGCGGTTTTCTTGTAAATCTAGGACTTTCAAGTTATGTATGGCGGAGACCCCTCGTGGTACAGGCCCGGAGAATGAATTGTGGGAAAGATCTAACGTCCGAAGCCTTGTCAACAACCAAATCCCGCCAAAAAAAATCAAGTTACCAGAGAAATGGTTATCGGAGAGGTTGAGATAATTGAGCGAAGTGCATCGCGAGAGGGTACTAGGAACCGGTCCTTCGAAAGAATTTTTGGATAATGAAAGAAATCTAAGGCCGGAGACAGAATTGGGTTGGAAGAAGTCATCGGGGATGGGACCGGATAAGAAATTATCAGAAACATCCAGAAATCTGAGAGAAGTAATGCTAGTGAAGGAAGTTGGAATGCGGCCAGAAAGGCTATTGTGACTAAGGTTGAGAGTTTGGAGAGTGGGAATGAGAGCTAACTCTGGGCTGATAGTACCAGTAAAATTGTTACCAGAGAGCGAAAGTACCTTTAAGGATTGCAGCTTTTGAAGCCCTTTTCCTGCAATTTTACCCGACAAGCCTAAGCCATCGAGGGATACATGTGAGACTCGGCCAGTGGCTTGATTGCATTGTATGAAGTTCCAAGAACACGGGGAGTTATCGTCTTCGTTCCAAGACTCGAGGTAGGAGAAAGGGTCATGGAGGTCTGATTTGAAGACAATGAGGCCTAGAACATCATCATTTAGTTGTGGAGAGTTGCCAGAACACACTGAAATCAATGAAAATAACAACAGATGGAGAAAGGCTATCATCATCATCATCATCACTGTCATTGATCTTTCTCTATTTGATTTTTTTTTTTTTTTTTTTTTTCTTTAGAGAAGAATCTTGGAGTTGGTTAGCTTAGCTTGGATAAAACAGGAAAAAATTTAAAGATGGAGATGGGCTGGCAAGAAATTTTGTGTAGTGTTGTTTTCATGGGGTTGAAGTTGATGAAATAATAATGTTAAATTCATGTGGTTCTAAATTGGCAAGTGTAAGAAGTAGAAAGAGGTGAGTGAAGATGGAAATCTGACTAGAATGTTTGTTGGGTTGTGTTGTATGGGTTGGATTGGAAGGGTTTTGATGAGAGAGAGAATGAGGAAGAATTGATGAGAGAGACAATCAACAATTGGTTCAATATAGCCTCTGCTTGTCTGTTCTATTTTGTCAGCTCAGCTTCTTTGATTCTATCCTCTGCTTTGAGTTCAATTTCATTTTTGTCAAAAATGATTTATAAACATAATTTTTATACATAAAACTCATACAAAATGATGTTACATTGATATTTTTGGACTTCTCAACCACAATGATATATCATTCTCCTTGAAATAAATGAATAAGAGAAGGTTATATTATTAGGTTGAAATTTTTGTATAAAATTTGTATTTGTATTAGATTACTTTCAGTTTAATTTACAGCACATGCAGCTACACCTTAACAATACCCAATATTCCACAAACAGTTTTCTTTTTCTTTTTCTGGTTTTGTAATTGGCTTCAATTTCTATTTGTCTTTTTATGGAGAATAAATTATGAATCATTCACATTTACTAGACTGCCACCACCATCAGACAGTATGACTGTGTGTTCACAAGATCCAAAACTGCAGAGTCACGGGCTGCCTTTGTGTGCCTTTGGTTGTTTGTGGTAGAGGCCTAGCTTAAAGGCAACTGTGGTCCCAACCAGATTCTTATAAGGAAATTCTATATATATATATATATGTATGTATTAAGGGTGTTTGGGCTAGTTCAGATTTGTTAAATTTGAACATCTTAACTTGAAGGTTATACTTGTTTGGAGGATTTAACGGGCGAAATTAAAAGAAAAAAAATGAAATGCAATCACACTTTTCGTTTGGTTATAATGGAAAATACAAAGGGAAAGAAAGTGAGAGAGATACAATATCATTTTTTGTCTTTTGGGTTCGCTTGGATTTGTTTCTTTTTCAATTTTCCAATTCAATCAAACATAACTTAGAATTCTAATCCTATCAATTATTTACCTTTTTCTTTCTAGTTATCTCATCAAATCTTCTGACCAAACAATGTCTAAATATAAATTTGCCTCTCATTCTATGACCAGTTTATACCCATATCAATTATTTGAACCGTTTATCTCATATGACAAATTTAAATACACAATTTTTTTGTACAGCACATGTCAAGCAATTATCCAGTTTAATTTTAAAATGCTCCGGAAGAAAAGTAAAAAACTTAAGTTTGAATTATTTGTCTTTCACTTGAAATTTATGAAAAAATGTTAGATATTTTTGAAGTATCATATGAAATTGCCAATGTGGTACTCTTAGTCGATGAGAAACCACAATAAACATTAATGTGGTGTTTGGGTCATAAATTTTGATATAATTCGGAAATGAAAATAAAAAAAGGTTAGGGCAATATGAATGAAATATAAATTAAATTTTTATCATTTCTCTTTTCCAAATCTCTATTTAAATTCATGATCCAAACATAACATTGAATTATCATTTGTTTTATAACTTCTTAACAGAGGTGAATTTCCACCAATAAAAGTTTTGTTATTAATTGATTTGAAAAATCAATTTTACCGTTTGACCGACATAGTATGTATGTTATGCTTCTAGTATATTATTATTGTCTCGGCGTTGCTGTTGCGGAAACTTTTCTTGTGCTGCAGCTCATGCAATATAAGGGCACTCTAGTAGGGCATATAGTATAATACTTTTGATACAATTTGGCAGATGTATACTCTATAAAAAGTAAACATTAGAATTGATATTTATGTCATAGATTTTTTTATTTTTCTCTTAAAAATACCCACAAGAATTCTTATAACAGTACTTGTGGCATTATTTTAGTTATGCCCCAAATTTATCTATCTATTTATTAATTTTTTCAAATTCATAAAATATTTTAAATTTTGAATTCAAACATACATTTTACAATCTTATTTTGTCCAAAAAAAAGTGATCTAATGCACATGCATTGCGTGTGTCACCATTTCTAATATATATATATATGTAAGCACTTGTCTTGGTATAGCTTAGCATCTGTCACAGTGTTAGGTTTTTGTTATTGACAATTCTGTTTGACAAAACTCCTTTTAATTGTAATTTTATTCGTTTTTTTATTTTAGTGAGGTTACGAGAGTTTATATGCAAATCCAACCCGAATTGTACTTGTATGGAGGAGTTTGTACTGACATTTTGTATTTGAGCATTCCTTATTTGCCACTTCGCTAACCATGTACGAGGATTGAGTTGCTCGGTTAGCTAGCGAGGGTCCAAGGGGCAGCGCCCCTTGACGGGTTCGAGGCAGCGCGTGGCGAGGTGAAGGGGCAGCACCCCCAAAGCCAAGAAGAAGTTTAAGAGTGGTCAAATGTGCGCTAAAATAGATCTAAAATAGATATGGTAATTCCATCCAATAAACGATCCTACTTTAGTTAATCAATTCTCTCAATTTGTATTTCATTTATAAGAGAAGTATACAAAAGTGTTCACATGCAATACATATTTAATCTTCTAAAAGGATGAATCCATGTCATCTTTAACAATACAAAAGTAAAAGAAATAATAACAAAGTAAATGCCAAAGGCTACAAGTTCCAAGGTTTAAGCTTGGTTACACGAAATGTTGTCAAACCCATATACATTAAGCAATTGGCTTGTCAAAAGATCATGAAAAGGAGGAGGGCCTCTTGCTCTCAATAAATTCCACACTTTCAACTAAGAGGGATCGCTACACCTTTTCCTACACAAATCCACTAAGGGTGAGCACAAGCCCAGTAAAGATATCTTAACAAAGTATATATGTTTAAGCAATCTCATATACATGAATGCAATACCATGCCATTTCAAATGTCAAAATTTTCCATTTCTATTGAAACACATGCAATGTTCCTTTCAATGAGTTCATTTTCTCCATGAAATTTAAATAATGACAACAGGGTGGTAAATACGACTTAGGTAATTCCCAAGCTGATGTCTGCAAGTAGGCATAACAAGCACAACCAATCCCCTACTTTACCGGCTCCTAACTGGAAGGAACGTGGTACCTCCTCCACTGTGTTTTTGATTTTTCACATTGAACACTCAGGCCAACTTAAACAATACTAACTACACCCCCCTATCTTGACTTAGCAAACGTATTTACCCCAAAATAATTCGATAGCAACAGTTATTTTCTCAAAACAGTGAATTAATTTCCAAGGCTAACCGTAAATGAATAATATTCAAAGTGATGCAAACGAGTGAAATGCGAGGTAATTATATATATGTAAGTACAATATTTTCATAATTCTTAACACTTATTCATAGTGAACGTCTATTGTTCAATAGTTCTCAAAATCATGACAAAATACAAATCCATGTGACGTTTATGACATCTCATGTTCACAATTAATCAATATTCTTTTCAAGATCTTCAACATTCTCCAACAACAACATTTGTCCATCCCATGGACATCTCAACCACACAACAATATGAGAAAGATTTTATCAATTTCTTAAGGAATTTAACCACGATTTCTTGGGTATTTCACAATACCCACTTTTTCCCAAATTTCTTCAAAACTAGGGTTTGATTCAAAAGAGCTTTTCTTTCCTTTTTATGGATTCTTTTCACAAATACTTCCAAGAGTGTTAGAAGTTCATAAAACATTTTTAATTTGAATATCTTCACAAGAAAACAAAATCATTTCCTCCACATTTTCCAAACCAATGTTGCCAACACCAAACCCTATCTTTAAAAAAATTATAGGACAATAGACTAGACATGCTAAAATCATATATATATATATATATATATATCACTCAAAGAACTCTCCACCTCGAGATTTGGGATAAAAATGTGAGAAAAGCTTCAAAATTGTAACACCTGAAAATTAACATCATTTATTAGTTACCAATCCATTATTGTCATTCAATTCCATAACCTTAATAAATGCCGGATAAACAAAGATAACAAATTATAAATCAAAAACCCATCTATTTCTCACAAGTTAGTCATCTCATACATTATAATAAATTACAGTGCAAGAAACTATATAAAAAAAATAAAATCAAAACCCTAGAGGCTTACACATTTCAAGGTTGAGGCCCTTGATCATAGAGAAAATAAAATTCTATCTTGGCAGGTAAGCTCGTAGCTGAAACATAAAACATCAAAAGAGTTTCAGTACTCCATCTAAAACTCCATATACTTCTCAACGAACGAGTCACACCTTGATCACCTGGAATTTTAAAATATCCAGCCCATAAAATTGGAGTGAGCAATGATGCTCAGTAGGAAATAAGCTTAACACATTATAAATAAATATATATATATATATATATATAATGCTCATATTGGTTATATTCATGCAACATGTCATAATGTACAAGTATTGTAACTTTGTTGACATTCAGTGCTCAATGTAAACTTTAAACCCACGATAGACTCAACACTTGGACCTTAATTCTTCTTGAGAACATCTCTTTGCCTTTTTTTTATAAAATCCCAAAACACATCTCATTTTTTTATATAAAATCCTAAAACACATTTCGTAATACCCCTGCATTTGCAGGCTGCCAAGCACGGAAGGGCAATTAGGCACCTTCTACGTTTTTGAAAACACCTCCACATTTACCAGCCATCAAGCACGGAGGGGCAATTGAACACCCGTTACATTTTTTAAAAAAAATGCCGCTACATTTACCGGCCACCAAGCACGGAAGGGCAATTGGACACCCAACACATTTATTCAACCGTATCCCCTACATTTACTAGTGGTAAGTACAGAACGGAAATTGGGCACCTTAACCATACATTCTCCGGCCTTCGAGCACGGAAGGGCATTTGGGCACCTCAACACACAAAACATGTTCTAAAATTACACACACCCAATTACACAACTCAACACTTGATCCAACACCTTGTGGATGCAATGCAATGCAAGAGTTCATAATATTGTAACTTAACTGAAGTCCAATTCAATCACACACAAAATCAATCCAATGAATACGATGTGAAATACATATATATTTCCATGTCATCAAGTCATCACCACCATCAATTTAATTATATACTAATTCATGCATTGAACCTTTCAACATTTTCTGGATTTCCACCCAAAACAACTTCCTTAAATCCTCCATT